CACTTGGGAGGAAACAACAATACAGAGAAGTTAGATCATATTCACATATTTGCTCATGTTCCACCATGACTTCAAATCCAGCATGTCTAATCCAGGTATATAATTTCTCCTGTAAATTTGTTTTCTTAAAATAGGTGCTAAGCCTATGTGGCCAAGAATCAAGCACTTTATATAAGCCATTTTTCTTAATCACCAAGCAAACCTACATGGTACTTGTTATTATTCCCACTAACAAATGAGGAAATCCAGGCATAGGGAGGTTAATCATCTACCCAATGAGGTACTGTAGCTCTGAAACGTTAGCATACTCTGCCGTTAGTGTGTTGCTGTGAGTGTTATCCCTCAAGTCATCCAGATTCCAAACCCTGGTGTCACATTTGATCTTCCAGTTGTTTCACTGTTCATCCATAATCATCTTTCCCATATTCCTTTGGTATTTTTCTTGTTTATATCAGTTCTAATTATTAAGATGTCTAGTCCCAGTCTTTACAACATGTAGATTTTATAACATATTCCTGATTGGTATCTTTACATTTTTTATGTTTAAATTAATTGTAAAATGATATAAAACTATATCTCATTGTAAACATGCAAATTATAGAGAATGTAGAGTAAAAGGTAAAGTCATCATTTTTGTCACCTCTCACTAATCTCCAGAGAAGTAAGCACATATGATTTTTGGTTTATTGGTTTTTAAAATGTAAGTAAAACTATAGTATTCCCATTACTCTGTGATTTAACATCTTTCATTTAACAATATGTCTTGCAGATCTTCATACATCAGTGCTACAGAATTTACACAGAGTAGACATCATAAATGTATGCAAAATAAATCTTAGACTTCAATTACATACTCCTTTCATCCAAAAGTGATTGTATTTTTTACTCCAATTTTCATCTAATTGAAGCATTTCTTTCTCCCAGGTTATAGGATATTATAGGTCTGTTTTCCTTTTTGGTTATTTTTTAATCAAGATCTCTTTCACGGCAAGTGTGATATAACAATGAAGGTTAGTTTAATTAAATATCAGTAAAATGTATGTGTGTGTATATGTGTGTCTGTTGTGTCATTTTATCATACATTTTTCTGTAAGTGCCAAACTCTGATCCTTAGTTCTTTTCTTTAAATTTCTAATTTCTTTACTATTTCTGTACCTCAGTAGAAAAGAGTAATTGTCACACTTCTGTGTGCATTGGATTCACCTGGGGATTTTAAACCCAGTGTGCTGGTCCCCACCCCCACAGTCTCTGATTTAGTAGATACAGTATCAATGTTGCAAATTTCTATTTCTAACAAGTTTCCATGTGATGCTGATACTCCTGGTCTAGGGACGACACTTGGAGGATCGCTGATCTATATGACTCTCTCCTGATGCTTTATATCCCCTAGGATATTCTGAACCCTTCTCAACTCCTCTGCTTACAGCACACAGAGCTACAGCTGAAGGAGTGCATTGAGAATGGCTATGGTAGATGATGAGGTCTTTGGTGTTCCTTGCCTTTCCATATTGGGCCCGCAGGGGCTCTACAAAGCAGAACTGAGGAGAATGACAGTTCTGCCAATAGCTCAAACCACAAATTAAGGAACAATTTTCTCATGTGCAGAGAGTGGAAAGAACTATCGTTTGCCCATTAGTCTCTACAGCAGCATACACACTACAGATTACAATCTATAGAATTTGAATCATCTTTGAGGATGAAAGATGATATTATAATGATACTACATCCAGAAAACAATTTTTCATTTATATTCTTTACTTCCTGATCGTAGCTCAGCCAAGTAAAATCCTAGGAATTAAGTGGACACATACAGTCAAATATTTACATTCATGTGTTACTATGGATTCAATACCAGGGTGATTTGTCTTATAAAGTGATTGTACCAAGCTATCATACAAAGATCCATAATTGTGAGACACAGAAGGATTAAAAAAAAAATTACCACAGAGTTTCTCTTTACAAATGTAGTAAAATTACTCTATCCTTAACCATTTATTTTTTTACAAAACTGCTTGCTTATCTTATACATACACTGGGCACAGAATATACATCATTTATAGAGTTGATTATCCAGGGTACAAAGTTTTAAGTACATAAAACTTATATAATGGAATGTTTATTCATGAGAATAGTGAGATATAGAAGATATAGTCATACTTCTAAGTATTAACCTGCTGGATAAATTGTAATTCTTGTAAAAGTTTACATATTTACATTTTGATCAAAAATTTTAATGTTGATGGAAAATCAATGCACTTGGAATTAGGAAAATGCATGGAGTGAATCAGTATCCATGTTGCTTCTTCGCTGAAATATTTTCTTCTTTGCTTGTGTGAAGAAATTTGGCCGTTTCTAGAAATGGAATCTAAAAAAACCTGCCTGAGTGTTTTAACTAGTAGCTTTCACTAAGCATGAGTACAGCCATAAAAATTTTTTATGTTTGCTTAAACTTCATATGAGTGGCATTTTAAAGGTATGTATCATTCTTCAACTTCCCCTTGTCCCTCAACAATTTACTTGCTCTAACTGCCATTTAATGTTCCATTTTATATCCATAACTAAATTTACCTGTTTCCGTAAGATGGAGATTTAGATTGTTTCCAATTTTTCAATGCTAGGACTCCCCAGTGAAGGTTCCTGTGGTATATTTCTTTGAGCACATATAGTGTATAATCTAGGAGTGAAATTAGGTAGTATGCAGATATTCAGCTTTACCAGATTTTGCCAAATTGCTCCCTTAATTAGTTGTACCAAATTATATCATCACGTGCATGAGGTCCTTGTTTTACATTTTCCCCAATGCTTGGATGTGAGAGTTTAACATTTTGACCAGCCTAAAAAGTGTGAAATAGCACTTCATTGTTTTTATATTCAATATTCCTAGTATTCCTAATTACCAACACAGATAGAAGCTATGCTTCTTTCCTTATTTTTATTCTTTATTAAGTTTTCTTTTTCAATGAACTGTCTAATTATATACTGTGCCAACTTTTCTACTGTGTTGCCTTTTTAAAACTTGATTATAGGTCACTACATAATCTGAATACTAATCATATTTTCTCCACATCTGTGGCTTGTATTTTAATTTTATTTGATGCTAATCTTTCTGTTGCCCAAGTTTTTAATTGTGGTGTAATAAATACTGTCAATCCTTTCCCTTGAGGTGTGTATGTCTTTTTCTTTTCATCTTGTCCAAAACACTATCCCTAGTCCAATACTCTTAGAAAGTTTGAAAGTTTGCCTTTTAGGTTGGATTTTTAGTCTGTGTAGAATTATTGTGTATGCTGTAGTAATATGAATTAATTTCTTTCACATGGGTTATTAACGGTACATGTATCATTTATTGAATCATCACTAATTTGTATGTTTAGGTTTGTTTGAGTGTTTTTGTTGCTATTATGTTCAGTTACTCTATTGACCTATTTCTGCAGTAGTAGAAAATGTGAAGCTCTGTTTTTCTATGAATTCTTTACATAGCCATCTTGGAATGTTTCCATACCTTCCATAATTTTGGTTGGACATCAGTTTGACCCCTGATATTGAATCAGTGTGGTAGTCATTAGGGTAGTTTACCAAAGGCTTCCAGTTCTCGGCCTTTTGGGAAATGGTGGAATTGCATTTCTATTCTCTTTGTGTTTAGTTTTGAACATATGACTTACTTGCTAACAGGTTCATTCTTTAGTAGAAGCTTTAAATAGAAGCCTAATGAACCATTGGGATTTGTCACATTTTCTATTACTGCCTTGGCAATCACGGCGATATGGAAATGGAAATCCCCTGGTAGACATAGAGACAGACATACAGTAGAGCCCCAGATGACCTTCAGTGGACATGCACCTGAGTGAAAAACAAATTTTTGTTGCCTTAAACCACTGAGATTTTCAGAGTAGTTCATTACACCAAAATAACCTGGCAAATCCTGATAAATACAGTTAACATTATGTAATTTACAATTTGATGATTGAGCAAATGGTAAGCAAATACCTTGCATTTGTTGTATTTCCTCACCCAGCCTGCAATTCCCTCAAGGCTACATTTCCTCTCTTCAAGTGTTTACATTTTTAAAGGTGATACCTGAAAAGATAAGATGTTTTACTTAAAATCATTAATGATTAAGATCAACTTTATGACCCTATAGTGAGGAGTCATTACTGAGAAGCAAGATTTCTCAGTTTCCTCTTATTATCCCATTGGTATCTCTTGACTTGACATACATTTTAGACTGGCTCTGATACTGAATCCATAATTCTTAGTTGAGGTTGATCATATTCAAAAATTTCTATGTCCAGTATCTGACTCTATATTCCTGGAGTGTTGAGGATTAGAGAGTAAAGATAAGACGTGAAGGTGGCACTAAGGTACTTCTCAGGCAGAAGTATCTTCTTCACATAATCTCTCCACTGATGAAAATTTCCTTTATTTTAGTAAATTCCTCCTAAACGTGCACAACTCATGTCATTTTATGGTGGGTTGAACAGTAATGGATGTAGGAAAAGAAGGGAATTAGTGTCCAGAGAAGGACATTTTTAATAATTCACATGTTAATGTGAAATATATGAATCCTTTGATTGGAATGTTGCTTCCTATGCTATGTGTGAGGCAGTGGACAGTTTGATGGTGATGATGAGTAATTTTAGAGCATGAAACACAGTCGGCTTATGTGGCAGATCCACCCGGAGGCTGTGGATTTGCCGCAAGAAGGATACTGGACCTCTCAGACAGGATGGAAGTGTGAGAAGGGATCTGGTAGCAGACATCAGCCAAATCTCTATTTTGTACTTTTAAAAGACTCCTGGTAAGGGGTACACACATTCAGAAAAACATCTCAAGTATGAAAAGCCTGTAATAGTTTTACTAAAGAATGTCAAACCTTTCTGACGTTAGAATACTTTCTTGCCAAACTTCTTGCTACTTAAAAAATGAATGAGAGATTAGTGATACCAAAATAAAAAAAATGAATGAGGATTGGTTGATTCAAGTTTCTATCTTTCTCTTTTTAGGTGGTTCTTTGGAGCAATCAAGAGAGGAGATGCAGAAAAACAACTATTATATCCAGAAAATCAGATGGGTGCCTTTCTAATCAGAGAAAGTGAAAGCCAGAAAGGAGATTTTGCCCTTTCAGGTATGGATATTGTTTTGTGAGATTTAAGCAAGACTTTTGGAGAATCTGTAGTCATGAACCTGCTGTGTGAATGTGGACATGTTAATTTAAAATTTGCTTTATGTTGTATCTTCACAATAGTACCTAATTAAATTTACAGAGCTACCCAAGAATAATAATGTAGATATTAGGAAAACATTTCTATCTATGGCTGGAAGTCTCTATAAACAAATATATGCACTCTAGATATGAAATGGAAAACATACAGATCCGGCTACATTTTCACACTTTTGCATTATCTAGGAGCCTATCCTTCTAGGGCAATGATAGCAAGAAGCAAGATTACACTGTTGTTCAAACTGTTCTTGCCACAGCACAGTTTCCTTTTTTGCATTTAATTTGTCTTTGGCTTGGTAAATAGAAAATGAATTAAAATGTGGAGTGCAAATGCATTTAATTAACCCATGACATGTAAAATTTGGTCAAATGTAGTTTTCCAGAGTCAAATGCATGTTTACTTTACACTGCCCTAGGAAAGAAGTGGCACAGGGAATATAAGAATTATATTTAAGAGTTATAGATCATTATATGCATGTCTATGCTTTCCAGAATCTCTGTTTCTCAGTATTGTGGCAATCTGCAGAATGTCTTTTTTAAAGATTCTCCTCCAGTCCATCTCACATGTAAGATTTCTCTCTCCTTGCTTTGCTCTGATCTCTATATCATTCAGGCCCATCATTTGTCTCATTATGCCTTTTAAAGCAGGTACTTGTTTCTCTAATTAGATATAAATCTTTTGCCTCCCTTTATCCCTGTTTCCCTGCAATAAATGTTTATTAAACATGATGCCCATGTGCCTCACTGTGTCTGCCTGGCTCACTGATCTGGAAGTCAGGACAGCCTCCATGGTGCAGTATTGAAGCTGTCTCTGAGTCCAAATGTACTGCAGACTTGGGCCAGACCCTGAACTCAGGCCAGACTGTATGTGTTTGGTACTCATTTTCCTTCCTCACACCTGGTGGTCCAAAATATCAGGGCAGATGGATTGGAACTGCAGAGAATTAAGAGGACTGATGTGGAGGAAGGCTTTCAGAGGTCTGTATTTCAGCTTCTAACTATTATGACACTGAATGAACATGATATTCTAGAAGCATTTGACTTTAACTCCACCCCTACCTAGTTAGAGAATGCTCTTCTGATGACCATTCTTGAAATGTGCTCAAGTGTGATGTGTCACTGACCACTCTAATCTTATCTAGCATGATAATAAAAATATTCATTCACTGTTACGGGATGGACATTATTCTCTCAGAATTAATGCCTGATCTGACTAGAACTTCATATCAGCACATGCCTGTATACACCCAGGTGATGTAAGTGAATATTTTATTATATTTTAGGGAAAATGGAAGTTCCCATGGCCAGGATGTTCATCTGACCCTAATCTACTTGCCCACTGCACATGTGTTGGCAGTGAGCCATTACTGTTTGGGTTGCTATGTAAAGGCCTCTGCCCAGTGCTCTGTGTGGAGGTGGAGGCAGATTGCAGTTTGTGGACCTGCCAGACACAGATGTGATTCTACTGCTCATCCTACCACCATGAGAATAAAGCTTGGTATAAGACCTTTTACCTGCAACATCCCATTGTTGTTATTCGGTCTCACCACATCCAGAATGAACTTTCCAGGAGCTGAGACCTGTAGCACTACATTTGTCATAGTTGACACAATTGGCTGCAGACTGAAAAAAATGGAAAAAACTGCCCTCATGGGAAGGGTATTTCAGTAGGGTGCCCCTATGGGTGGGGAAATACTGCAGGATGCCCCTGTGGGTGAAGAGATATTTGGGTGTCACTCAATGGGCATGTGGTTCAGCATAGCTTTCCTTCTAGAGGAGTGGGTCCCTCCCCAGGAAAGGGGTGTAGGTGGAGGTGATGCTCAAGGCAGTCGTGGACACCCTTCACAAGATTAGGACCCCTTAGAGAAATAGAGTGCCCTCATGGTGGAAGGAGCTGTGGGTTGGCTATTTCTCACAGTGGTAAATAAAAGGGCTATAAATGAGAAGGATATATCCTGCAAGATGCGTTGGAAGAGGCAGCATGAGAACACAAGCTGTGAGGTACTGTGGAGGAGGAAAAAGATTTTTTGAAGATTGAGATGGCGTCACAGTGAAGTGCTGTGGAGAAGGTAAACAATATCGTGGTGGAAGTGCTCTGCAGAGTGGTGAGAAATCTGCCATCAACTCCAGAAATGGTGAAAGATACATTGGAGAAAAACAAGGAGGTGGAGGTGGTGCTGGAGGCACTGACCCCGTCTCTATTGAAATCCTGCCCAGTTGTAGTCAATAAAATACAGAAACAGCAACTGCAGGTCCCTCTGGATGAGGTGCAGACCCCCTCCCCAGGTCATAGAGTACTCCTTGTTCAGCCCCAGTACACAGGTGTAGCTGGTAGATTTGTGCCACCAGTTATGGCAGAAACCGTTGGTGTCCGTATTGGTCTGGCTCCTGCACATTTGGGTTGTAGGGGTGGATAGTATCCTCCTGTGTGGATTGAAGATGGGAAATATGGCTTCCCTGACAACTCATCCTGCCTGTGGTAGTAGCTATAGAATGCACACCAGACTCCAGGGAACCATTCACTTCTCAAATGACTGATGACCACTCTTTCCACTGTATGGCCCAATCAGGGTGGTGTACCATCTTCCCCTGCTAGATGGCAGATGTATGCTGAGCTCCAACAGGTGTTATGAGAGTTGGGTATGAAAAAGGCCATTTATAACCCAGTAAATCATGACCTGGATGATTTTACTGTGGTTATGAGGGATATGGTGCTGCAAAAGCTCCCCCATCCATCTTTGGGCCCCCAGTGGCCATTCTTGCCCCTCATATAGGGCAGTCCATAATGCAGTTACCCATACTGTGGCAGATTTAGGGGAGACTGAAGCAGTGACGGCAGGGAAGGGAGAAAGAGTTGCTGGAGAGAGGAAGGGCTTAAAGGGCCCCATGAAAATCAGGATGACCCAGATGTGGGTTAATTTGATAGAGGCAGGAGCAGACAAAGAGAAATTGGATGGGAAGTCAATGAAATTTTACTGGAGCTGTGGCAACAATTGGAGCAGTGGTTTTGGCTGTTGGCTAAAGAGGGGATCAAGAAACGGAAGCCAGAGACAAAGCTATAAGTCCAGCCTGTGCCCCTGCAAGACTTCTTGCTGGAGAGTGACCCAACCTTGCCTGAATCCTCACAGGAAGGAAGCTGATTGGGCAATATGGTTTGAAGGGAGGGTTGAGGTACCTGCCTTAAGGGACCAGGTGGGGACCAGAGGCCATATGTTGAAATATCAATTCACTGGTCCCTAGTGAATATACAATGTGTTCTGGCTCTGGCAGACACAGGAGTGAGTGGTCACTGATTTATGGCAGCCCTGAGCAGTTTCCTAGGACCTCTGCTAATATAGATGGATTTGGGGGAAATGCTACCAGAGTGAAACAAGCCTGAAAACATTGGAAATTGGGAATCTACCCCAAAGCAGTAAACTGTGTATGTCTCTCCCATCCACAGATATGTTTTGGGGATAGATATCCTGCAGGGCCTATGGTTACAGACCACTGCAGGTAAGTTGAGACTGAGGATACATGTGGTGAATGCAGTTCTGAGGGGACATGCTAAGCATCCACCAGTAGCTTTGCCTGTACCTCAGTAGGTGACTAATAACAAGCAATACAAATTGCCTGGAGGGCATAAATAAATTTGAGAAACCCTCTAGGAGCTGGAGAAGGTGGGTATTATAAAGCCCACCCATAGTCCTTTTAATTCCCTGGTATGTTCAGTAAAAAAGCTGCACAGCTCCTGACCATGGATTACAGAGACTGAATAAAGTCAACCCCCCAATACATGCTGCTGTCCTCTCTATTGCAGCCCTCTTGAATACCCTCAGTCATGAACTAGGGGCATATCATTATGTTGCTATAACTTGCTAGTGACTTCTTCTCCATAGATATAGAATAGGAAAATCCAGAACTGTTTGCCTTCATGTGGGAAGGATGGCAATGGACTTTTGCCATCCTTCCACAGGGACACCTCCACAGCCCCACCATCTGTTGTGAACTTGTAGCCCAGGACTTGGCAGCATGGGAGAAACCACCAACAGTGCAGCTGTGCCATTATACTGATGAAAACATGCTCACCTCTGATTCTCTTACAGACCTAGAAGGTACACCACCTAGACTGCTGCAACATCTACAGGAGAAAGGATGGGTAGTGAACAGTACCAAGGTTCAGAGACCTGTTTTGTCTGTCAAATTCTTGGGGGTTGTCTGGTCAGGTAAGACTAAAGTTATACCAAAGTAGTCATAGATAGAATCTAGGCCTTTCCTACCCCTACAACTGTGGCACTATTGCAGGAGTTTTTGGGTCTTTTAGGCTACCGAAGAGCATTTTTTCTGCATTTGGCACAAATTCTGAAGCCTTTATACTGTTTGGTATGAAAGGGGTCAGGTAGGACTGGGATGAGACATGTTTCTTCAAAACAGGTGTTCAAGGCTGTGTAGGCCATGAATGTGTTAGACCTGTGAAGAACCTGAGAGCTGGATGTTCATGTGACCAAAGATGGTTATGACTGGGGTCTCTGACAGCGGCTTGAATGAACTCACTAGCCTACTGGATTCTGTTCACAGCTCTGGAAAGGAGCAGAGGTCCAGTACACCTTAACAGAGAAAAAATTGGTTTCAGTGTACTACAGCTTGCAGCTATAGAGCCCATTACTGAAGCAGCCCCAATACAGGCTAGAACCACCTGTCCCATCACTGGGTGGGTGTGAGATTGGACCCAAAACACTGGAGTGGCGTGGCACAGATGCCTACACTGATCAAGTGGGTGCACACCTCCAGCAGCAAAGCACCCTCTCTCATAGCCTCTTGAGTGGAGAACTCCAGTGCTTAGTGGGGCTAGTGACCTATACCAGTGAAAAGAAGAATTTGCTTTAGAGCCATTAGTAGCAGAGAGCCCTTATCAGTAGGGAAGA